CACGCTTTGGGGAGCCTCTAGCGTGACGTTACGTTGTATGAAATATTTATTCCTTGCTCACCGTCACCTTAAGTGTCCAAGAAATAAAATTGCAACACAAAGATACAAAAATGGAACGGAAAGAAAATCACATCCAAGTTACACACGGAGCCTTCAGAACAACATCCATGTTCAGTAAATTCTTGTGCACCCAGCACGTATTATTTGAGAACTGATCTAAACAGGGGGCTTGAATCCGTTACGGTTCTGTTACAAGAAAGCATTGTTTCATCAAGTTGTTTTATGATTAGAGAGAGATTAGTTTTCTGTACATAAGCATGTCTATCATGCAGCCAATTTAGAATTAAAAAAAAGAATATCAAACTAAAGGTAAGCTTCTTCTCTACACTGTTTGAATTTTCGTTCACTGCTGGCATACATATGCGAGTAAATTTTTGTAATTTTGGGTCATTGTTGAGTTTCGCTGCGATTGGCAATAATTTCTGAGTACAATTTGTTATTTCAATTAATCACCTGAACACGCGTTAACAACAATTATACCTGATGAAAGACTCTCGGGCAAGAAGCCACGTCAGGTATCTGACTGGGTGAATGAACCATTTCTTCCGCCACCATTCAGCCAGCTGACTCGGATTGTTGCCCCAGAGGCTTTCATCAACTTCGGTCGCCGCGAAAGCTTCACTTTATACAACAATTATAGCTGTTTAAACAATTATGTGACATTTCTATAATATTAAATAATAACTTGAAAATAAACCGAAACGAAGCATGAAATAACCTTCAATACATTCGACAATTACAGTGTCTCTGTACTACAGAAAGGGTTGCTGGTTCCGTAAATCTTTGAACATAAACTGGACTGCAGTGACTTATTACATCTGTTTTTTATTTGCTTGTACTAGAAACTTTGAAATTCAGAAAACAAAATATTTGTTTCGTTGGTTTTGTGAGAATAATGGAAACTTAAATAATATTCTGCTTTACCATTTCCAACACACTCTCGTCTTTACGATTTGGTTTAGAAAGATATGTGTGCAGGCACGTTTTATGCACGTTTTGCAGAATATGACGTATTTTAATATTCAAGAATACAAAATAAGCAAACAAACAACTATTAACACTATAAAAAATAAACTATTGCCATACGCGTTTCAACCTCAAGAGGTCATCATCAGTGGCATCAGGATTTCGAAAATAAATAATGAATAGGGTATTTCACAAAAGTATTTCAAGCGATACTGCACATTATTTATTTTCTAAATTCAGTTTAAACCATTTGATTAAATGAATTAATTTCCCTGATGCCACTGATGATGACCTCTTGAGGTTGAAACGCGTATGGCAATAGTGCCTTTTTTATAGTGTTAATAGTTTGTTTGTTTGCTTATTTTATGTTCTAATACACTACACGTATGCAAAGTTTTAAGATTCAAGAATACGTTTCCTTTTGTTCTGAAATTCAAGTTTTGCCTTTAGTCTAATTGTTATATATTCTGTTTCACGTATGATTACAAGGCCATGAGAAGAAAATTACGTGGACTCTATTTTATTTTCGTAAGTGTTTAGAGAGCGGGTTAAAGTAAATGTTAATGTAACACTGTGTACGGAAAGATCCACTTTTCTTTTCACATTTCCTTGTAATTTATTAATACTTCATAATCAGGCTGGATAACCTATTTCACTTAAACCTATTATTCAAGAAGTTCTGGGTTCAAATCTCGGTCCGGAGACCGGCTATTCTTATATATTTCGTGGTTTTCTTCAGTCCCTATAGAAAATTCTGAGATAATACCTTAAGGTATTCTACAACTACTTTCTTCTGCATTTTTTCCAAATTATTATCATTAATCATCCCACCCTTCAACATTATAGGCCTTTAGTTTGAGCTGCTGACAGCGTCGTTCAATGAACCATAAAATAACTAAAATAGAATGACACTGTGAAGGTTTAATAAAGCTGAAATCTGAGTAAGTCCTACAACAGGCCTTGAAAGTACATTTGGGCCGAAATGTAAACATAGAAATGCTTCGGGCCGCATCTCGTTTTTCCTGTACAGTACTTAAAACATGTGAAACTTATGAATTAGTTATGTGTAAAGTGTCCACGAATGTTATAATCCTTAGGTGCAGACAAAGTTTCTCGGCAAACAAGGAATTTTTTTTATCTCGTATATGTATTTATTTGTCCATTCTGTATTAGACACATTAATTTCATATCCAGTCTTTTCTTTTTCATAAAACTCATGATAACAAGAAATCAAGTAACAAAGTTATGTACAAATTCAAATTGATACAACTTGCTAGCGAAAGAGAAACACTACTGCAAACAGTCGGACACAAAATGATACTGATTTTACGTTGTGAACAGCAGCAATGAGAAGAGACGAGAGTTATGGCATACCGAACCAATGTTTTTAGACTGTCTAGTGGTAGGGTGGGGGGTAAGAAATTCCAATACTGTTTCTTGTATTGATTTTTTAAGCGCAGGTCTTCATTCAACAGCTGATGATTGTCGTTCGATATTCAATCATTGTTGATAGTTTAAAAGAATACAAAGAGAAGTTCTCATGTTATAACTTGGTACATTTCATCCTAATTGGTGTACGGAAAGATCCACTTTTCTTTTCACATTTCCTTGTAATTTATTAATACTTCATAATCAGGCTGGATAACCTATTTCACTTAAACCTATTATTCAAGAAGTTCTGGGTTCAAATCTCGGTCCGGAGACCGGCTATTCTTATATATTTCGTGGTTTTCTTCAGTCCCTATAGAAAATTCTGAGATAATACCTTAAGGTATTCTACAACTACTTTCTTCTGCATTTTTTCCAAATTATTATCATTAATCATCCCACCCTTCAACATTATAGGCCTTTAGTTTGAGCTGCTGACAGCGTCGTTCAATGAACCATAAAATAACTAAAATAGAATGACACTGTGAAGGTTTAATAAAGCTGAAATCTGAGTAAGTCCTACAACAGGCCTTGAAAGTACATTTGGGCCGAAATGTAAACATAGAAATGCTTCGGGCCGCATCTCGTTTTTCCTGTACAGTACTTAAAACATGTGAAACTTATGAATTAGTTATGTGTAAAGTGTCCACGAATGTTATAATCCTTAGGTGCAGACAAAGTTTCTCGGCAAACAAGGAATTTTTTTTATCTCGTATATGTATTTATTTGTCCATTCTGTATTAGACACATTAATTTCATATCCAGTCTTTTCTTTTTCATAAAACTCATGATAACAAGAAATCAAGTAACAAAGTTATGTACAAATTCAAATTGATACAACTTGCTAGCGAAAGAGAAACACTACTGCAAACAGTCGGACACAAAATGATACTGATTTTACGTTGTGAACAGCAGCAATGAGAAGAGACGAGAGTTATGGCATACCGAACCAATGTTTTTAGACTGTCTAGTGGTAGGGTGGGGGGTAAGAAATTCCAATACTGTTTCTTGTATTGATTTTTTAAGCGCAGGTCTTCATTCAACAGCTGATGATTGTCGTTCGATATTCAATCATTGTTGATAGTTTAAAAGAATACAAAGAGAAGTTCTCATGTTATAACTTGGTACATTTCATCCTAATTGTAAAAGGTCAATAATTAATATTAAATGTGTTAAAATAATTAAAACAGGAAAGAAGAAAAAGTGAAATTTTATCTGCACTTATTTTAATGTCAGGATTTATTATAGTTGATTAATTTTAAAATAATTTGGGGGGGGGCGCCCGGGGGCCCTTCATCCTATGACCCGCACGTGGACCAGATAAAATCGTTCTGGGGACTGCATGTTGTGTGTGCCTGCCCTTCAATGATACTTGCCAGGTCTCAAAGAGACAACTGTGTTAGATTGAGAAATCATTGTACTTTTCTTTCGTACTTTTGTGGAATTAATGATCGTGGATACGTCCCAAATAAAAGTAGTGTGTCGGTTTAAAAAATAAATACATAACACATTTAACAAAATTGAACACCACAATTTTTGTATTGTAATTATGAGACCGGCATTTGTATGTGTGATCTTCCCAGCTAGACAACGAAAGTCCTGGTAGTTCACAGTACGGCCGAGAGATGGCAACATATTGACCTCCTGGAGCTGGAAAATACTTGCTGGAATCGTAAGCCAAAAGCGTTCAGAGGCCGTCGTTTCGCTTCGTAAGCATGTTGCAGACTTATTGAGGCGGTGATCGATACATCCAGAGTACATTGATACCTGTTCCATCAAAATTATTCATACAGTTCATTGTTTGTGAGCAGTTTAGGGCACTTTCACTTCTGCGATTTTTTATTTTATTTGTTTAATTGATTTTATAATCCCACAAACCCGAGTCTGTGATAGCCATAAGGATATATATAGTATGAGTTTAATATATTTTTGTCCTTAAAACTGCTGCTCCTTCACTCCTGCCATGTACCCTGCCTGCCGTATAGAGAGCCTATATATAAATATAGAACTATATGAATTCATTAATTAATGTATTATTTATAAGTTTTTGTCGTCTTCCGATTCGATGTAATTATTATCTGCGTATACAATAATAGCACCTGATCTACGATTCTTTTCTAAAAAGTGGGCAGAATGAAGAGAACACTCAGTACAACAGATTTTCACTTGCTTTATCGCCTATTACAACAGTAGAGCGTTTTAAGCATTCTCTATAAGAAATAGGGAAATTCTATTTTCAAAGTTAGGCATCTATAATTTCCTAATTTGGATGCTATTTAAAATCCGAGTAACTCTCTGAGAACAGTAACGTTTGACCTGCACACATTAAGAAAAGTTTCTTGAAGTTCAGGTACTTTCGACTAGTGAACACCACTAATAAAGTAGGCCCTGTTACTTCTTACGTCTTCTGCGCTCAGAAATTCGTTCGCTCTAAGACAATAAGGACAATTACGAATGACTTTCAGAAAATATTTGCTCCGTTATCTTCTGAATGAAGCTAATTCTGTTTCTAAATAATTTATATGAAGCCGTGAGATTATTTCCAAGGGCCTAAATGTAATCTTGAAACCGCTGGTTTAATTTAATCCTGTCGCTGCCTTATTTCGCAACACGTTATGTATTCATAGATGGCAAATGAACGTAGTGCCGTTCAAACATAATGCAGCCTGAAGTTCGTGCAAATTTCATAAATTTCCTTCAATAGGTATTATAAGCACCTTCGAAGATCACGTTCGCCTTGTCATGGACAAGCAGTTATAGTGGCGTGGCGTCTCGTAATTCTGCAAGACAGTGCCTTAAAATTCATGAGATTTTGTTTCACTTCCCTCAAACGTGTAGTTTTCTTATACAGCACTAGCTACGTGATAACCTAAGTTAGGGTTGTCCAACTTCAGGCCATCGTTTCGACCTTGTTTTGTCTGAGGCGTCAGTGATGTTATCGCAGTCGAAATTCTGTTATTGAAAATATAAAACCAGAAAGTAGAAATTTAAATTTATTTTTGAAAAAATATCTGTTAATAAATTAAATAAACATGTATGGTGTTATTAAATTAATTAGCCATTTTTTAATGGTACTGTATAATTTATATGCGTACCAAGTTTCGGCTCTAAATAACCCATCATCAATGCAGACGTACTGTCATTCAGAAGGAATGTTTGCAAGTAAACTACAATTACTATAAGCATCGCAACAAATAAACAATTCTTGTTAATCTAGTGAGACATTTGTAATGTGTATATGATTTGCAATAAGTCTACAAGATTCTAATAGGCCTATTATATGCACGCTAAATCGATATTCACTTTAATTTCTCTGTATTTCTCTTCGTAGTTGTTCAATTAAAATCGTTCAAGGTTTTTCACGTAGAGACTCAACTCTTTAGTATGTGGAATTATAAACAGTATCAAATGTTGATGTAGCATTTCAAAAATTGTATCATGTTTAGATAACATGAATTTCACGAGGGAAAGTTCCATTGAAAAAGAGCAATGTGTTTACTGTTTGTATGTTATTCTTCAGTTTTTTAACAGGCTGTATTGGCCAGTAACTGTTTTTTATTTTCGAGCCTATGAATTAGACTTTATTTAGACTACACTGTCTGAGGTTTTAACTGCACATGGCGCTAAGGGAATCGATTTTGCTCTTCTGCATCGGCACGTCGTGTGGTCTTGTTGGCTCTTACTAATGTTTCGGAGGAACTTATTGATTCCATTATCAGGGTTAAGTGGGACGGAGGTGGGAGTAATTCGTTTTTCAGAAACGTTGGTGAACGCCTACAAGTCGACGACCCAGAAGGCCACAATCGACATTCTCTTATATTGATCAGTTATCAGAAACAATTCTGCCCGTAGTGTTCTGTTTGTAACAGAAAAATTAGAAGTGTAGTGAAATAAGAACAGAACTGGAGCGGATTGAAAGGATCCAGACTTTTGAGATGATAGATGGCACCTGAGAGGATTTTCTTCTTTTTAAGTATCAATTGCTACATCAATTTTGCACTGATTTTCTTTACCGGATATAAAACTTATTTATCTGTAAGAGGACAAATGGTCCTAAATATTCTTATGCATATCCTAATTAAACAACTCTGCTGGCAAAATCTTAGATTAGGTTATTGCTATAATAAAATCAGGAATTATGGGATAGCGGGAAAGTATAGCATGTATGGATTGATGAGACGTGTATATGTACACAATAATTTTTGTCATGTAATTTGGAGGATAATATTAAAATAGATTTTTCATAGGCTAAATATAATATGATGATGTAGACGGAACTGACCTAGTTCAGAATATTGTAAACACAGTAATGAACCCGTAGTTTCAATAAAGACCTAATATTTCCATGGCCAAGTGAGTTACTAGCAGCTTCTGATGAAAGTCTGTACTCCGTAGACGTAGCTACTTTAGCATCCACCTGAAAATATTAAGAGTGAAACTTTATTAAGTGTTCGGAAAGAGTAATGCGGAAGTCTTTTGCAACCGGCCATCAATCCAGGAATAAGAATGGTTAGCCTTTATTACGTGCATCCAAAGACGATGCTTGAATTTTAGATTAAGTAACACATTTCATCTGCGTACGTTACAGCATGCAGGATGAAAAGAGGTGACAGTATGTTTCATTAACGATGGTTAGGTAAGGATCTGGATGGAGAGAAGAAGTGGTTGGCATAGTCATTAAATTAATGTCTGCGAAAGAAGTTACGGCGATCAATGCTGATAAATATATGTTGTGATCAAAATCAAATTACGTACATCTACCGAGAACGGTTAAGTAATCGATCCGTTCCTACTTATTATTACTTCTTCTATGCCTATTATTTTAAGATAGATTAGAGCTATACTGTATGATAGAACTCTTTGAAGATTGGGCACGACAATTATTCAAGAAAATTTTGTGCCCAGAATTTATTGTCAGCATTTGTTCCGAAACTGCGACGGATTTCCTGGCAACTGCAGAACGTGTTTTTTTTAAAGAGGATCGAAACGGTGAACCCAGCAGAACCCCCAGATTTCAAAACCTATTATTTTGTGAAGATTGAGTATTAATAGCAGCTATTTCATTTCTAGGCCTGCGTGATTCAAAGGTCAGCTTTGATAGGATATTCGTGTAGACCCTTGAGAAAAGAAATCATGCTCTAAGACGTGTTTCTGAAAAGAACTTCCAGATATCCTCTGTTAGCTGGTTAAGCGATTACATTTAAGATATTAGTGTAATCTGGGATACATCCCAACTCACTGATTACCGTTTCAACTAAACCGGTAAATAATGTTTTAAACAAATTAGCCTTGGTTTCAGACGACCTTCTCCACATAATCGCATACTGCCTCCGATAGGCCTACGGAATGTCTAGAGCAGCGTTTCTCAACCTTTTTGCCTTTGCGGAACCCTTGAAATAATATTCAAGTCTCAGGGAACCCCTACATAAAAATTATTATATATCATTATTGATATTTTTCTTTCTTTTTTATAAACTTAAAATTCATAAGGAAAACTTAATATATTTTTTCTGATAGTTGGTTTACGCAAAAAATTACGTTTTTCTCAAGTTTATTGACAATACAAAAAAACTGAAATCAAACTGCCTCTTCAAGAGACCTCATACGGAGGTTTTCATTCACACAAAAAAGTTGTCAGTGGAACCACGGTTCCGGAGAATTTGACGTAAATACGTCTATACGGAAAGGAAGTTAATATATTGGCTTTATTCTAAATATTTCCTTTGTGCATGTTTTACAATTGAGATAAGTTTGATTAAGACTTTGCTTAATCAACTTGAATTAGTTACGCTAAAGATGGGTCTGTGGTAGCTGAATGTAATGTAAAGTAATGTAATGTAATGAAATGTAATGTAAGGTAAGGTAAGATAAGGTAAGGTAAGGTCATGTAATGTAAGGTAAGGTAATGTAATGTAATGTTTTATAGGTAACAACAATGCCGAGAAAAACAGATGACGTTTCCTAGGTAACAACAATGCTTGAATGCTTAACTTGAATCAGTTACGATTAAGATGGGTCTGTGGTAGATGAATGTAATGTAAAGTAATGTATTTTAATGTAATGTAATGAAATGTAATGTAACGTTTCCTAGGAAACAAAAATGCCAAGTAAACAGATGACGTTTCCTAGGTAATAACAATGCTGAGTAAACAGATGAGGTTTACTAGGTAACAATAATGCCGAGTAAACACGTCGTTCGCTAGGTAACCATTGTTACACTTTTTCGTTTCACGTTTTCGTTTCCTTTTTTCGTTCCCCTCTGTGCTTGTCTTTTGGTACACAAATACTTAATTCGGGGTCGAACTTTAGATAAACACACACGGATTTCATCTTCAACTGAAAGGAGACGATTTCTGTCTTTGGTCTTGATACTTGTTAAATAAGAAAAAGCTTGCTCACACATGTAAGAGGTTGAAAACTGCAGCAATATATTTATTGCTTTCCTATGAATGGCAGGATACTCTTCTTTCACAGAAATCCAGAACTTGTCCAGGGCTAGGTCAGTAAATCTCATCTTGAGTACAGCTCCTGTACACTGACCACTAAAGGCGGTTTCACGCTGGCGCCGTATAGACGTCGCTAAATATATTTCTTATGATTATTATATTTCTAAATGACATAACAGGTTGAAGACTTTATTATAATACCCAAGAATTTTCCGAGAATATGTCGTACGTGTATAGTAAAATTACTAATATGAAATTAAACATAAAAATAACTCAAAAATACATTTACATATGATTAGCCTATCATCACTATTACTCGCGGAACCCTAAGGTTCCGGGGAACCCCGGTTGAGAAACGCTGGTCTAGAGACTCCCTGAAATATTTAAATCTTATTTTCAACCGTTCCCATTGTGTTCTGCATAGAGATAATCACATACCTTGTTTTATTTGTTTCAAGTCAGATTTCTATGATACTCTTAAATGTAGCTTAAAAACTACGTAACCTGTTCTCTGGAAGCGTAACAAAAATTCGCACCGGACACGATCATGAGCGAACTCGAACCATTTTCCATCCTCACAGCTCACCTACCTAAGATCCATCTTGATGTTATCCTCCCATCTGCTTCTTGATTTTCCAACAAAATTCTGCATGCACTCTTTGAGTGTATCTAAAATTTGTCCGTCTTGTACCTATTTAAGAGGAGTTTATCTTTCCGTTATATGCAGAAATATTGCTGCTCATAATCTACTTTAATCAGTTGTTTCAGTTCCCAATCTTCACTGCCATAAAGGATGATTGAAGAAGTTAATATTTTGTACTGTTTTACTTAGCTTGAGCTTCTTCCAGTTAAATTAACTTTTAGTCGGGGGTCTTACTTAAAATTACTGTGATATTAAACCTTTAAACAACTCCGTACTCTCTTTGTTCCTTGAGTGATATATTAATGCCATAATTTGATGCTAACATGTGGCCTTTCCTCTTGTTATTTATACACATTACCTTACGTCACAGCTGGTCGAACAGTGGCTTAGATGCTCTGAATTAGTAGTGTAATTTACGGGTAGGTCCTTGACAAAGATATTGACACACGAAACAGTACGCATTGAACGGAATCACGCACACTGTAATCCCGGTTGATGGGAGAAGCTGTAGACTGTAGATCGTTGAGTTAGCCTATTAAATAAAAAGCAAAGTCTCTATATTCGCAGCCGTTGAAAAATGCTATGAGTTCTAAATCAAGTTAGAGTTACATACATGCAAGTTGCTTCCTCGTACAAGTGTGTTATTTAGCCAGACGCAAATTTCTCTTCGTAAATAGATACATAAAATGTATTTTGGTTTCTTCAGCCGTCATCAATTTTAGGGCATCAGCAAAATTCTTTAGTTAAATTTTAAGTTTGTGTGATATCGATTGTGGAATTTCGGGGGAACATATTACCTCCGATTTTGGGGTTTGTATATTGTAAAACAGATCGTATTTGAGTTTGTTTAAACGCACTTTTGTATTAAATTATTAATTTATATCACCCATACATGGGTCTATGTGAACGTGAGGCCAGCAGCTAGCTAGTCGGCTTTGGCTCTCTGGAGCTGTTACGCCACGGAATATTATTATACATGGGTCTACATTTGGTTTAGCGACAGACATGAGACAAGTTTCAAATGACTTTGATATCTGATATTTCAGGTTTTCACTGCGCTCAAGATGTCATTGCTGGTGTTGTGGCTAGTAACGCCGTGTGAAGTGTTGAAGACCTAAAGACGGAGACAATAGACTGTATTTCTCCGAAACTTCGGTATCCGCCTACAAATTCACACGGCCATGCTACACACAACACAAATATTGACTGGTTACAAATATTTTCTTAGATATAATTTAGTACATGGTACAATTTATGCAGTGGAAATGATATTTTTAGTAACTATTTCATGAAAAAATATGAGCCGGCATAGCCCAGTAAGTATAGCCTACATGCTGTTCCACAGTAAATTGATGTGTAATATTTTGATAGTCTGTAAATTTGTAGCTCATCTGGCATTATTCCTGGTGCAGATCAGCAGTTGCTATGGTATGAAATTGGTCCAGGTGTTACATATCACCTGTTATAGTTAGAGGAACATATACATATAAACATACCACTCAGGATGGCATATTACCTTCCGCGTTTGGCTGGTCGAGTGCACTGTTTCTGCAATAGGAGAAAAACAGAAATTAAGTCCTGGTAGTGGCGACTCTGGTAAAAAGGAATGCAAATAACGCTGATGTGGGGTCTAGCGAAATCTATATAAGCTTAGTTATGTAAACAGACGAGAATGTCCATATAGAAAACTAATTTGTGGGCTTGGCTGACTGCCCGGTGCCTTAGGCCTACCAGAAATGTCGAAGAATTTTAATTTCAGAGGCTGTGAATTTGTAGAGATTCTCGCGAGTTATCTCTAGCTAAATCACTGCATACAGTCAACAATTATTATTCCATTGAGTTACCTGAGTGCCAGTTTGACAGCCGTGCAAAACAAGTGGGGAATTAAGATTAACACTGTTGGCGTTTTTTTCAATGCACCTGCCGCAATGCTAATTTATGATAGTTGTATAAAAAGGCGAGAGCTTTGCCTGTAAGATAAATACTGCGGATAGAATGTTGGTTGACGTGATCAGTCGGCATGCCTTAGAGCAGTTTACGCGCCACGTGGACACGCAGGGTCTTTCTGTGATGAACGTTATGATCAAATCGCAAACCTGCGGTCGATATCCGCTTCCTCTGTTATGAATTGTTGATGGACGATAAGATATTGGGATTTCAGTTTCTCACGGCGTCGAATATGAAGATGGCTGTCTCCTAGGCGGTTACGCCGTAATGGTGGAAGCATCAAGCATTTCTGAAACGTCGGTGAACTTCTACCAGACTACACGGCTCAACAGTTCAGAAGGCAGCCACATTTATATTGGGATATATTTTGTTTCTGACATCATGACCACCTTGCAATTTTTCACTAATCCCTATATCAAATGCGATATGCAATTGTAATAGCCATTTGCCCACAGTAGTAATATTAGCCTACATCAATGTAAAATGTCCAAAGTTGATCAAAATGCATTCTATTTACAAATGTAATTTCACAGAACTTTCCTGTTGATTGAAATGGTGGTATTTTCTTAATTTAGGTATATTGATCTCATTACAATGTTCTATCTGATGTTTTTTTTGTGAATAATGCATTCCATTCAGCCTATAGACTGGACATCTAATGCTACAGACGGGAAGGAATAATGGGATCTGACTCCGAAGTTTTATAGACAGTCAAAATACGATAATTAAGGGTTTATAGGTACATAATGTAGCTGTCACGAAACGACCGTATAATCTAATACAGACGAACACTAGCCATATAAAATGATAGAGTAATGATTGTGACGATGATGATACAACTATCAGATATACCTTCATCAAAATATATTACCCAGACATAAAACTTTGCTTTATCTTTATTATATCAATTTTAAGTGACTGGTTGGAAGCATTCACAACTTATGCGAAGAATAAAGAACACTTCTCTTGTAGGAGCCGTCCTTGCTACTGGTGCAGAAGTCCTTAAGTGCTGTAAATCAAACTCTTTTGTATGTGTGTGTGTGTGTGTTGTGATAAAAGCTTTTTCTCCTTTCAACAGGTGTAAAACTTCAGTGGTTTGGAGTTATAAACGTTGTTGGGCGCCTCCCCCACTCGTTTATACGATCTTTTATAGGCGCAGTATCAGTCAGTTTTAAGACCCGTCAATAGAATGGACCTTTTAACGGTTGTAAACACTGATGAGTCGATTTTGTTAAAAAAAAGAGAAGATAATGGAGAGAATAGGAGAGGGAGATGGTCAGAAAGAGAAAGTCTGGAGATATTTACTGATGATTACGTTAATAACATGATTCATGTTTATTTGCCTATAATGTGGTTTAAGTATGTGGCAGTAAATGTCAGTCAAATGACGATATCCGAAGTGTTTATAAAACCAACAACACATGTTTTCAAATGCTTCTGTTGTGTGTATGTGTGTATAAAGCCTGTGATGTGGATATCAGGTGGCTTTTTGTGTGTTTGTGTAGACGTGAGTAGGCAGGTTTTTGATGGCG